GGAACAGCATCCCCTGGAAATCCAGTTGGCCCCAACTTCCTTGGCCTTTCATTTAGGTTGGGAGGTTAAAACAGCTCTGTGGGTAGATTTGTTTGTTCTGGTCTTTATAGATTGAAACAGAATGATTTTTAAACCCTGGGCATACTATTTTGGATTAGTGGTTTGGAGGCTTACTTTTGTATTTTAGGCTGTTGTTTCTTTTTTTATTTTGGTTTTAATCTTCTGTGTACTGCCCAGAGTCACCACTGTGAGATGGGGAGCTACATAAATTGTTAAATAAATACATAGGGATAAGACAATTTTAATCCCTTTCAAATGTTTTGGATTTCAACTTCTAGCCATCATAGTGAATGACAAAGAATTGTGGGAGTGGTTTTAGCATGTTCATTAGCATGTATTTTTCTCTTTTAGAGCTGGAGGTGTTGAAATTTATAACAGTGACAATAAAATTAAGGTTTCCAATACACTGGAAAGTCGTCTGGATCTCATTGCTCAGCAGGTAAGCCTTTCTTTTCCCGCATCCCTTTAATACGAATGAAGCATTTTCCATTTAACTCTTCTTCTCTAATGAAGATATACAATCACTCATTCAGTTCCTAGGTCAGCACATGGCATTGCTATGAGGCATCATGGTAACTTGAACCGTGGGTCTACAGGTCCATTACTACCATTAGTAAACAACCATGGCACTAAGAAAAGCTCTCTGGGGGCTACTTGGCTTAGAAACCCTCCTCAGTCTTGGATCTTAACCTATGTTCTTCTCTTATGTAAGCTCTTTGCCCAACATGTAGTGATTTCTAGAAAGATTGAGAGATCTGAGGCTCTCAGCTCAGCTATGGTTTCCACTGTCAGCAATTCTCAGTATTCAGAAGTAGAAGAGCATTCAATATGAAGAGATCTTATTGCCATCTTTTTATGTATGTCCTTTAATGTACTTATGACTGAATGACTGTTTAAGCATGTTCCAGGAATTTGTTGGATCATCAAGGCATACTCAGATTTTCTTTTTCTCCCCTCAACAGATGATGCCAGAGATCCGAACAGCACTTTTTGGTGCCAACAGTAACAGAAAGTTCATGGACTAAATTCCTTGGAATGCCGATGGAATTCTCTTCCACTGATGTGCTGAGGGGAAATGCTGGAGCATTTCCAGTAAAACAACGTCCCTCCCCTTAAAATGTACTTAGTGCTTTATTGTGTGGTTCTGCATATGTTTTTCAGTTAAATTATTATTTTTTGCATACTTGCTGTGCTTAGTCTTTCTGAGAGAAAGGCAGGAAGAACTTTTTCCAGAAAGCAGTGGCACTGGATCCAAAAATTAAGGCATTTGCACTCTTTGATCTAGACCAATGAGAGAAATTATTTGGAGCTCGGTTATCATTCTCCAGTGTGGTTATTTCCCTCAAAGCATGATACGAATCTGTGCTGCTTATCCATTTTCTTCCTTTCAAAAACATACATTTCTTCTGCCAGTGACTGCGAACTCCCAACTTCCCCAATCTGGTGCTCCCCAGGCTGGGAAAAGCAAGTCATGTTAACTTGGCTAGTCCCAGTCTTTTGTTCTGTATATGTGACTGAAACTATATATATATATATGTGTACACACCCTCATCGTGTATGAGTTTATTAAAATGAAAAGCATGCAAAATTGTGCTTGGTTTTTTGTTGTAGCAGGTGACAGAGGGTTAAGTCCATGTGTAGTTTATGAAAATAAATGCACGGCATCTACAGTTTCAGTCAGATATGAAAATTTGAAGAATAATAACCATATTTTACAAACTTTAACAGTGCTCAGACTAAATGCTGAAATACTAGATAGAAAGGTGAGAGATGGCTATAGACCAAGTATACTGTAATCCTCTTATCTCAGGATGACTGTGTTCTGCCAGAACCAATGAGAAGACAAGACCAGGTTAAATATATTGTGCAAACCAGGTGATAATGTGAGCTATAGTATTGGGTTAAATTTATCAATCTTAAATGGAGCCATAATGGGGGATTATTGCAGTGAATATACATATTGGGCAGGGACACCTATCAATAGACTGGGGCTATTTCTCAAAATTTGCTGTAATTCTTGGACAGAATTAAGATTGATTCCTGTTCAGGTAATAAAAGACCACTGTCTTCCAAGTTCCTTCCAATGAAGCAAAATTGAACTGAAAGTGGGAGTTAGAGCCTTACCCCTGAGGTGGACTAGGACAATAAATGCTTCCCAGAAGGAGAACTTATAGATAACCAATCAACTGCAAATATGCTGACTTATTTTGAGACATCATACAGAGTGTCCAAATGTTATTAAGTGCAATTGAGAAAGTAAGAAACCAAAAACATATTAAGGCCAAAAAAGATTTAGTGTGCCTTTTTGGAACCTTTGGCCTGCTCAATTCAAGGAGCTGAAGGAAAGTTTGATAGTGCTGAACACACTGATACAAACTGATATTTTATACTTAATAAATATTAAAGCTACCTCCCAAATCTTACAGACATAACAGTTCTCAGGTTATACAATTAATTGGAATTAATCTAATGTTTTTCTATAGAATATAATATGGAATTTTGTAAAGTTTGGGTCTTACATATTAGAATTCCTTGAAATTTAATTTTATGAGTCTGATAAAATTACTCCAAAATGTTACTCCAAAATTGAAATATATTTTTGAGAGGGATCTTACATTTTTTAAAATTGATAGATACAGTACTGTGCAAAAGTTTTAGGCAGGTGTGAAAAAATGCTGTAAAGAAAGAATGCTTTCAAAAATATATATTATAATTGTTTATGTTTATCAATTTACAAAACGCAAAGTGAACGAACAGAAAAGAAATCAAAATCAATATTTGTTGTGACCACCCTTTGCCTTCAAAACAGCATCAATTCTTCTAGGTACACGTGCACACAGTTTTTGAAGGAACTCGGCAGGTAGGTTGTTCCAAACATCTTGGAGAACCAACCACAGATCTGTGGATGTAGGCTGCCTCAAATCCTTCTGTCTCTCCATGTAATTCCAGACAGACTCGATGTTGAGATCAGGACTCTGTGGGGCCAACCAATCACTTCCAGGGCTCCTTGTTCTTTACGCTAAAAATAGTTATTAATGACATTGGGTGTATGTTTGTGGTCGTCCTGCTGCAGAATAAATTTGGGGCCAATCACACACCTCCCTGATGGTATGGCATGATGGATAAGTATCTACCTGTATTTCT